ACTGATGCAAAGCAATATCATAGGAGGCATAAGGTTTGTGGACATCATGCTAAGGCTCAGGTTGTGCTTGTAGCTGGAATTAGGCAGAGGTTTTGCCAGCAATGTAGCAGGTTAGAAATGAGTGCGCTTTTTTTTTTTTTTTTGTCATTGCTTTAGCTGAATATGTGGAAAAGTTTTGAACTTTGTGTCTAATTGTGGTCCATAATGTTGAAAAACTTTAGCTTACTGTTGTTTCATTAAATAATTGCAAAGTTTCAAGTGTCTTTTTTCTTGCTTTACTTGCACTAAACAGTACTGTAGAAACAAAGATTCATAGATGGGGTTGATCCCAACTTGGCTTCCAAGTAATTTGGATTTTAGGTCTCTTGTTTTGCGTTAATTGCTGCTTATATAACCTGAATTTGAGGACTTTAATAAGAAAGTCTCATGTTCATTTCTTACCATTTCCCTTTTTGGGAAAATCTGGGTGACTAGCTGGGGTTGTCAAAGTTTTCTTCTGTTGATCATCCGCTTTTCCCCGGTGTAGTTTGCTTCTGATAAGAGAAGATGCTAGTTTTTTGATTGATGTTGATGATAAATTCTCTTAGTTCTGTTTAACACCCGACCCCCATTGAAGCTGATTTGGTAATTTACTGGAGGAGAACCTAAAAGGTTTTGACTTGACAACTTTCTAATAATGAGATCTGCTCGATGCATGACACAAGTCGATGCTGGAAAAAAAAAAATGAAGTGCAAAAGAGGCAATGCTAGGTTAAAACGGTTGCACAAATTTTGAAAAATGATTTCAGAACAGTTAGCTTTTGTTAGTCTAAGTAACATTTTTTATTAATTAAGATTTTACGATAATATTATTTATGTTAGTGGATCTGGACATATCTTAAGGTTGTGGTAAAGGCAAGAAGATAAAATTCAATGATTCGGCCAGATTTGACATTTTGTTGCAGGATTAGAGTCCACTTCAAATGTCATGCCTTCATCTTCTTGCAATTCAAGGATTCCATAATCTTGCTTTATCTTAGCATATTAAGCTGTGGATTGTATCACATCTGTCCCCTTTGTTCAATTTGGTATCGTTTCTTTAGTAAAGATGGAATCCACTGTCTTTGCTGGATTTTTCTTTCTTCTTTTTCAAAACCAACCCAGTCAACAAGGAAACATCAAATCAAATCAGATCAAATCGAGGAAAAAAACTGGATAAATAACACACGCGGCAATCTCTTCAGAGCAACAAGTCACGGTAGCTAGTGGCACTGTTACAGCAAAATAATTTTATTTGTTGCGACAATGTCACTGGCACGATTAGGGAAATTTTTTTTTCTTGTTGCGTCAGCAAGATGGTAGCAGTATTAGAGGATGTGCTGGTGCGATGTGCTGGTGCGATTTTTTTTTCTGTATCCTATGTTTCCAAATAAATTTGTTTGCTGTGCTAATTTGAAAAAAAAAAAAAAAAACACCCCGGC